TGGCTGGGGAATTCTGGGAGTTGAAGTCCACTCATCTTAAAGTGGCCAAGTTTGGACAACACTGCTTTAGTTAATGGAGAGATTTTCCAAAGCAGTTTAATTTTTTCATGCATAATAGTTAACCCTGACAAGAAATATCACTAGGCCAAAGCCAAGAAATGTAGAAGCTTGTAAGCATCACAAAGCAAGATCTTGTGCTCAGCATGCAGTCTCCTCTGTATAGTGAAAGGATGAAGATTGCTCTTTTTCAACAACTAACTCAAAAGCAGCCCTCCGTGAACTGACCCAGATTCAGTAAAGTTTCAGTTGTGGATGGAATGGCCTGCAGACTAGGAGATGACTGTAGAAATTGTCTATCTGTAAAACCACTGTCCTCTTGCAATTAGAGGTACTTAGCAGCATCTTTATTGGGAGCTGGTCTCAGAATAACAAGGACTGTAGGAGCAAATTTTCTGATTGAAGCTGAGATTCAGGCCCTTTGCTCAACCGCCCTGGGACAGCTAGAATCACTAGGGTAAAATTGACAGGGAAGATACAGGCAAGTGTGCCAGGAGTGATACATTTCTTTACAATGCTGGTTTGATCAGGTGTGCAATGTTCCTTTTGCTCCCATTTTCTGGGCCTCTAGTTCTTTGCTGATTAAGGAACACTAGCTTTTGTATGTAGATCTGGGCCTCCTATCCTATGGAGCTATTTTATCCCCAAGTGCTCCTTGGCTATAGTTATTATAATGGCAAACTTTATTTAGTGCTGAGTTTTTACCCAGGCCCGAAACTTCTTGGGCCTGATTAGAGGGAGAAACTGAAGCCATTTGCTTAGAAGTTAAGTCCTTGAGAAGAAGAATCTCCTGTTCATCCAGAATCTCCTGTTCATCCACATTCAGGGAGAGGACTGGGAAGAGGCAGAATTTCTTCACCAGGTGGTAACAGTTTAACTACCTGCCTCAGGTGAGACATTTTCCCTTAGAGCAGTGTTGTCCAAACTTGGCCACTTTAAGATGAGTGGACTTCAACTCCCAGAATTCCCCAGCCAGCC